GCCTTTAAGAGTTAGGTATAAACAGTGGTTTTATACCAGTTTTTTCCAAATTTATCATGCACTATGGAAAAGCAATAGTCGTTGTTTTAATGGAGCAGTTCTCTCAGAAGAGTGGGACCATATTTTCTTCCATATGTGATACAATGTAATGTATGGCCCAATTAGAACAAATAATACTAATCCATAGTTTTTGTTTCAGGATATTGCAGGAACAATGAGAATTATCGCAGATTTCCCATAATCTTGGGAAAATTTCATATTCGTTTGCAGGACCATTCACTCCGGAACAGATAGATAAAGCATATAATATATGAAGCAATCAGCGAAACGTAATACTGATTAAGTTTTTTCAGGAAATTCCTGGAATTATGCAAACTATCTCTGATGTCTCAGAATTTTAGAACCTGCATTTGCAAAAAATCCCCATTTGTAGGACAGAACACTTAAAAACTTCACATCTGTGGATGTCATACCGGATGGATGAATCAAATAAGGGGATTTTTAAGATAAGTTTCCATAAACGTTTAATTAGTCTCACCATAAATGTTTAATTAGTCTCACCATAAATAGAATTCATAGTTCTATACTTCTTCGAACATTCCTTCTTAAAAAAGCGGCTTTTATCGATTCACTAAATTCATTTCATCAGTCGAATAATTAGTCGACATTCAATTATGTGAGTGTATGGAACCACGTCAGGTACCCTTACGAGGGGAGTGTATCAACTTTGGCGTTCGTAATGCCTCTCTACAAAGGAGGGTGTCGCCTTCAAGAGTTAGGTATAAACAGTGGTTTTATACCAGTTTTTTCCAAATTTATCATGCACTATGGAAAAGCAACAGTCGTTGTTTCAATGAAGCAGTGCTCTCAGAAGAGTGGAACCATGTTTCCTTCCATATGTGATACAATGTAATGAATGGCTCAATTAGAACAAATAATACTAATACATAGTTTTTGTTCCAGGATATTGCAAGAACAATGAGAATTATCGCAGATTTCACAGTATCTTGGGAAAATTCAATATTCACTCCGGAACAGATAAATAAAGTAAATGATATATTGAGCAATCAACAAAACGTAATATTGATTAAGTTTTTTCAGGATATTCCTGGAATTATGCAAACTATCTCTGATGTCTCAGAATTTCAAAACCTGCATTTGCAAAGAAGAGTGGAACCATGTTTTCTTCCATATGTGATACAATGTAATATATATCCTAATTAGAAATAAATAATACTAATGCTATGTTTTTTTCAGAATAATCCAGGAACAATAAAAATTATTGCAGATTTCTCAGAATCTTGGGAGAATTTCATATTCGTTTGCAGGACCATTCACTTTGGAACATATAGATAAAGTGAATAGAATATGGAGCAATCAACAAAACGTAATACTAATCAAGTTTTTTAGAATATTCCTGGAACGATGCAAACTATCTCTGATGTTCAAAGCCTGCATTTGCAAAAAATCCACATTCATTTGTACGACAGACCACTTCAAAACTCTACATCTGTGAATGTCATACCAGAAGATAAATGAAATAAGGGGATTCTTAAGATAAGTTTTCATTAACTTCGAATTTGTCATTCCTAAAATACAAATCATTTTATTAACGATAAGTTTGTCTTTCAAATATTAAATAGATATTGAAAATTAAATATCGGCTGGTCACAAAATGTTAATGTTACTAAACATTGACAATAGATTGCTTATTGAATAGCGAAATGAAAAATTGGTTTGATATTGGGACAATCTAGTAGTTCTATATTCAATATGAAATTTGAAACCGAGTACTATGTACTCTTTAAGTACATTGAAATGACCACTACTTAGTGCCGGCTTTTTATTTTCAAGTACCTAAAGTAAATAGATTAAATCTCATCTCTAGGTGAGCTGGTTGCAAATTTCGACAGGCATCTTATAACGAGATGTTATACGTGTCAATCACCATCCTGTGCAAAATGATGGCAAAACTATCCTTTTCTGTGCGGTGATTTGGACTCAATTTCGCGATTTGATAAGGATATGAGTATTATGCCATCAGATACCAATTGAATGGTAGATCTCAAAAACCTACACCTGTGTGATAACGAATTGAAACGAAAAGCAAACAGAATGGGATAATGATAATATCCTCTTCGTGAATATCCAAACGTGCTGCGATTCAAACTGATCCAAGGTTAGTGGCAGAGCGTCAAATGTTTCCGAGAATATTTTGCCCCTCACGAAAAGTAATATCCGATGGACCAGTGTTAAACTCATGTGGTGCTCGCACTACAAGTACTCATTCAAATCCACATGTTGAGTTTAACACTGGTTCATGGGATATTATCTTTCGAGAGCGGCGAAATATTCTAGGCGGAAATATTGACGCTCTCTGTCACTATCTTAGATCAGTTTGAATAGCGGCACGTTTGGATATCCGCAAAGGGAACATTATTCCAATTCAGTTGCTTTTTGTTTCAACTCGTTATTACATGACGGAAGTATGTCCGGAATAATGGCAGTAATTCAATTGTTATCGGATGGCATAATTCTCATCTCGTTATCAAAACGCGAAATTGAGTGGAAATTAACACACAGGAAAGTGCCATTTTTTTATCATTTTGCTCAGGATAGTGAATGGCACATGTGCTGTTCACTAAGATACAATGTTTTTACATCATCATCATTTCGTTATCAGATGACTGTCGAACTCTACAGTCGGCTCTTGAACTATAATTTTATTATCCAATATACCATCAAATTTTTCATATAAATACAGGATATGTAAGATATATATGTATGTACATGTATGTATGTATGGATATGTGCTATGTACGTTGTACCATGTAAGTACATTCAAATAACCACTACTTAGTGCCAATTTTTTATTTTCAAGTCGTACCTATATAGTAAACAGGTTAGATCTCATCTGAAATTCCATCAAATTGTTCAAATGAATGAAACTCATATGTAAGTTAGATATTATAACTGGAGTTTGATTCCTTATTGAGTATTGTTAGACTCGAAACTTATTGATGAATCGAAGTATACAAGTTAGGCAAACATAATTTTCCTATAGAGGCTATAGGAAAATAGTGTGATGGGTAAGCTTTGTTACCCCACTCACACACGATACGAAGCGTATGGCAACGTTGCCGTTCTCTCCGATGGAATGAACATCCACCGAATGCACACGGTTATCCCAATAGAAACATTATTTTTGCCAGACATGTATACATTGTGTTAATGATGGAAAAATAATGAATGTAATAAATACACTGTATGGTGAAATATAGTTCCATATACATGATAAGAAATGTGGGTATGTGATAATAGGTCTGGGTTTCATAATAATCTCGATGGGGCTCTTGAGTAGTCTACTCAATAAATACTTAATCTTATTGATTTGGCGACCTCGTATCATGTCTTGTCGTTTTATTTTATAAATTATACAATAAGCGATAATTTTTCGCATGGAATTACTTTGGTTTGAATATCCTCCGAATAAATTCAGAAAATTCCAGTTCCAATCACTAACTTCCTAACCACGACAACTGCATTCGCAAATAATTCATATCTCTGTTTATGTTCGGTGATGATACTGACCTATATACTTATTCTACCGATTGATTTTCAAGTAGGTATATATATGGTGGATACTTTAACTGGAAACAATTCGCTACTGGGGGAGTGAATGGTTTTTCTGAAAATTTTCGCGACACGTCAACGTTTAAATGTATTTTTCTACTCACATAACTAAAATGGCATTTAGCGTACGGATATGTACCTACCACGCTAAATGATCGATTAATCACGGATTGTCAATCTGATTTATTCAAAATATTAAACACGTTACCATTGCAACACGATTTCATATACACATTACCATGGCAATGCAGTTCATTAAACACAGCTTCAGTAATTTGAGACATGTCTGGCCTGCCAATTTATTGTATTAACTGTCAACTGTTATTTTCGAATTTTGTATCAGAATTATTCAAACAATATATATTCGTTATTTGTATCAGAATTCATCATTGAAAATATATGCGAAAAGTAGACGAAAGTGAAATCGAAGAGAATGTTCTGGCACTTGCATATCTCCAAGAAGTGTAAAAATGAAGCATCCATCTTTGAAAACAATTTATTTATTCTGCGCTGGTTTGCATGCAGTTGCATGTATTATGTTCTCAATTCCCATTCCGTTCGAATTATTTTGTAGGTGAGCAGGAATTGCAGGTATGTTTATGTAATTTTCGGAGTTCGTGGAAAAATCATAGCATGTAACGCGTTTATAAACTCATCTAGACACTCGTTTATCAAACACTCGCTCCGCTCGTGCTTAAACTACTCGTTACTAAAAGGACGTTTATAACACTTGTTACATAATATACTATTCAACGTATTTTTATCAAAATTTCGACTTCTAGTGACAGTGATATATGGCTTTTCCACCAGAGCTTGCGATAACACTTGGTTTCAAACTGTGAATACGGCAAAAAAACTAAATTTATTTTTGCGGCTCTATAAAAACCGATAAAAACACTGGAATACAACTGCAGATAGCAATTGTAGCAAAAAATTGCCATCAATAAAAAAAATTAAATTAGACTAGTACGCTGGATTCCTCTTTCCACCAGCTTTCCAATGATGCGCGCGTCACAAGCCATAGGGTTAAATTTGAAAAAATCATGTCGAAGGCGGTTTCAGCTACCCCTGGAGGGATATAATCTCGATATAGCTTGCAAAATTCGTTGACGTAGGTATGTCGGAAATTTTTAGAAAAAATATTCACCTCTCCGCTAACGAATTTATTCCAGTCAAAGTCTCCAGACTGTATATAGACTTTTGTTTACTGGTCTAAATCGCCTACTCCGATTGATTTTATAGAATATAGAATTCTGTTCACTGGCTTAAACCTTGCGAACTTGCCATTATTGTATTGAACTCAATAATATTTCCAACTAGGTATCTAATTACATTATTATAATGTCAGGATCTCAAGGATAACTCACCTTCCACGTACCCAATCCAAAAGCTGGGATTTCATAGCCACTGTTTAACTTTATTGTCGGAACCTTCACCATTTTGCAGCAAGTAAGGCGAACACCTAGCGGAGTGGGTTTTTGAATCAATCAAAATCAACCACTCGACGATATTTATTTATGGTTATCTTTATGTTTATTCAACGAACAAATACCGTTCAATTTTTATCTATGATGAACATTTTAATCGAGGACGTGGATCAGTAAGTTTCGTTTCACTGTGTTTTTACAGTATTACTAGCTGAAAGAATCAAATCAACTCAATATAACCATAGGCGTCGGAACTTCAACTTCCAAAGGGGAGCCAAATATATCTAAATGAAATAATGAGTACAAGTACTGTTTGGATATTGTGTATATGCATGTTGCATGTTTGTGTATTTATACAGGGTTATTCAAATTTATCGCTCGTCATTTGGATATCGAGAAGCAAGGACAGATCTTTCAAATATTCAAATTTTCTATTATGAATTTGTATTTCTCATTTTGATTACATCGTGAGAAATAATTTTGAAATGTAGAATGTCGTGTATTCATAAAAACTGTTCATTCATATAGTAACCCGGAAAAATATACACTTTCCAGAAATTAAGGCACCATCGAAAAGTATCCAGAAGTTTGATAAGCATTTTCTACAAAAGTACATGTCCGATTTAGGCGTTTTTGTTTAGAATGACAGGTTGCCTCCTTCTGAATATTGGCATGCTAACTGTATTCGTATGGAAACTTCTTTTTTACGAATACCGGGTGTATCAATAGTAGCGTGTTTTTTCATGAAATTTGAAACACCCTGGTAGGGTGCAACAGTTGCAGTATCAAGTTAGAATTGAAATAACACTTCAGTCTTATCTTTTTCTAACATTCCTTCTTTGAGTTCACTCCATTATCTTTCCTATTACTCCAAAAACACTAGTTTATAGCATAACATGCTTTTATTGAATTAAATTGGCATTTTTTGACTGATCGCACGGAAATTGTGATCATAAATGGAAGATGGAAGCCTTACAGCTGATGATAGGTACATATTGGAGATTTCAGAACAACATAAATAGTGTGAGGATTTTTTTATGCAAGATAATGCCAGGCTTCAAGTCGCCCGAGTTGTGAGAAATTACCTAGTCGGTATTGCTACCATGGCATGGCCAGCTCGGAGTCCGGATTTAAATCCCATTGAGGATTTCTGGAACAGTCTAAGGACAAGAGGTTACAAAAGGAACGTAACTTGAAAACTTTGAAAGACGCACGGAAGAGACTGTCTCGAATTTGGGAAGACCTGGACTAGGCCAGGTAGCCGTGCGGACAGGGCAGTGTCAGTATTTCTATTCCGCATTCGCTTGCCGGTCGTGGGTTCAATTCCCGCGACTGCAGAAATTTTTCTGATGGCCTTAAGAAAGTGTTTGGGATCACACGTTAAAAGGTAAGGCCACCGTCATTCCTTGCTCGCACAAGACTCTCGAAGACTTCTGAGGGATGCTCGTAAAGGTGCAACCGAATGACGGATAGAACAATTTTAGAACAATTTAAAATGACATAAGGTCTCTTCTTTTAAGTATAGGCCGTCTTTTCCAAGAAGTTATTCTTTTAACTAGTGACTTCACATTCTGTTTCGTTTTTTCGTTATGGTTAAATTTGGATATTCATTCATTATTCCAGATTTTTTGGGATTTTCTCTCCTCATTTCAATAAAATAAAAATATGAATATTATTTCAATATACGTGTAGTAAGGATAAATCAGATGATTTGCCCCAAAATGTCACTGCGTTTAAAGAATTTTCAGAGAGCTTGAAAAAAAAATTCACTAGCTTGTCAGTGACAATTTGTATTGAAAAAATTTGGAGAAGAGAAATACAGGTATGTAGAAAGAGTATCAAATTTTTATTTAGCTTTGGGCGTTTCGGTAACGAATCTGCTCCCATTTTCAACAAAAAAAAATCCATCAACAATAAGCAGATTTACGCATTCATTGAATTGTCTTACCGGATTACACTCAAGCATATTTTGGGTTGTGATCAACTTGACATTTATATTTCGAATTTTGTTGCCGTTGAGAAATTTAACTACAAAAACTGCCCGAAAAAACGACTTGTCCTACGGAGTCGGAATTTTTTCGAAATGTCAAGTTCACTCTTCGACAAAAAAAAGCTCTCATGTAATATTATAAGTGACCTTGATGAGGAAACGTTGAAGACATACACCGGGAAACGTTGAAGACATACACCGGAATTATTTTTGTTATTAGTGACAACTGACCTGAATGTTTGAGTGATCTCGAACAGGAAAAGAAACCCAAATGATTTTCAATGGTATATATTTCGTTCAAATAATGATACAGCACAGTAGGTGGATCATATACATTTCATTTACATCAAAATTCGTTCTCCTTGAAAGGGTAATCAGGAGAATCCTTGAGTTCCTCGGCATGGCAAGCCCTGACATTAATGTTGAGACTATCCATTACAGCCATATCTTCTTCTGACAGTTCAAAATCGAATATATCGATATTTTGTTTGAGTCTTTCAAAGTTCGAAGATTTAGGGATGGGAATCACACCTGAAAATAACAGGTATATAAATGTGGTTCTTGAAATTTTGTTCGACACAACTTTTCAAGTCGATGAGAAAACATTTCTAGAGTAGGATAAAGAAAAAAAGGAATTGCACAAGAGGTAAGGAAATATGTCATGTATGCACTCCTATTCTCCTTGTCAATGTTTATATTGCTTTTCTTATATCAACCTATATTCTCTCTGTCGCGCCCTTCCAAGGTAATATAAATTATTAATACATTATTTTTTTACGAGAAAAATAGAAAGAGTTCCGGTTAAATGATTCCACCCGGTATATTCTGGGTCTGACCAAGTGTTGCGGAGTCATTCCGAAATTGTACTAAATCCAAGTATATTATACTGAATTGAGAAAATAATACTTCAAAATTTACGATTCACACATTTGATGAAAAACTTCATATTCATTTATGAAAATTTAAAATAATAATATATAGCACATTGAAACACCTCTGAAAAACGTAGGTCATGAAACAAATATAACTAATTGAAGCCGAAAATAAGAAATGAAAAGGAACATATCAGACGAGCGCTTCATTATCATTAGGATTCCAATTATAACATATTGTTACGTTATTCGGATGCAGAAGCGAACACGACACTATTTATTTTCGAACTGATTCATTTGAACTAAAGAAACACCTACTATTTAAGTAAAACGATTTATATCACGCGGTATATAACTGTCTCTCTGACACTCGCTGCTCGACTGACTGACGGCAGTTGTTCGGCCGTTTATATATGAGATTCCTTGGAAGGCTTTGGTTCGAGAACGTTCTCGAATGATCTTCCGTCTCCTTCTTTTTGTTCTAGAAGCTTCTTAGAACAGAACCTCTCTCTCTAATTGTTCCATCGATTGTTTCCAGAACACTCCAGAATCTTCTGTCACGTTATTTGTCACTGCGGCATATATTGAGTGATCGGAATTATGCTGGTGTATGTTGGAATCATTGGGAGGTTGGAGAACAATCTGGGATGCGTGTTACAGGTTGATCGTTGTACTCCTGTCTTACTGATGATGTTTCTAAAGCTCCTCTTAGGGAAATATCATTACAATATCTTCACCAAATAATTGTTTTGTTTGCAATAATAGCTTGGGCTATCCTATGGGGCTATCCGGCTCTTGTTTTTGAACTAGATTAGTGTTAATTGTATTAACGTACTAAATGTGTATGAAATTTACTAGAAAATTAAAATAGTACTAAAAATGGCTACTCTTGAGCAGGGCCTACTTCATCCTGACTCTTCCACTCACCCAGTTGGTAAACGTACCTCAAGATAACTTGAGGACCCGTTTTTCCGTATTTCTTTCCAATGCCTTCGACTTCGGGGGTTTTCAAGTCTACAACAGGGTCGCCTGGTTTGATCCATGGCCGAGCTGGGGATCCCAAAGGGCTGTAACCTTGAATCGCCAACTGGCGTTCTTTGCAGAACTTTATGAGTTGCTTGTTGTTGAAATATGGATTCACTTCGATCTGGAACACGATGGATATTTTGCCAAAAACATATCAAACCTGTGAGTGTCGAAGTGGGAAAAATTCAATAGGATTTGTCTAGTGGCAACCTTGACCTGCGAACCGTGAGGCATGATACAGGATGTTCCAGAATAACGCTCGTATACTACGGAAATTAATTCCATAAATGAAAATGGTAAGATAATTATGTTCCTATCAACATGTGTCCGACAATGCTTCATCTTATAGAATCACGAAATTTTGAACATCTCAGAAATAGTAACGTGGTACAAAAAATGATATGATATTCAGGGATGTGTGAAATTTGTAACGGATACTCTATAAAAATACTCCAAGTTTTTTGTTTCAGGATATATATCTCTCGTTTTTAGTACCAGAATAGCACTTTTCCATAAAAAAGGTACTTTTGTTAGAATGCCTTGAAACAAACCGTTTTCTGGAGAAGTGTAATTTTTCATTTTGATATCGGAAAAATTCACAATGATTTTGATTCATTCACCTATTGAACAAGTATGTAAAATTTACCTAATTTCCATGCGGATATTCAACAAATCAACATCACGTTCAACTCTAATGAAACAAAATCCCTGGAAATACAATATTTCAATCATTAAGCTCCTCTTTCTTCATCACAAGAACGAACGCTCAAAATCATCGTGTTTTTTTCCCGACATCAAAATGAAAAAATTGCAGTTTTCTGGAAAACAATTCGTTTTACGGGCATTCTATCAGGAGTAGGTACCTTTTTTTATGTAAAAGTGATTGAAGATTCGTATTCTAGTAGGTACTAAGAATGCAATGAATCATGAAAGAAATAAATTGATGTATTATTTTATTTATAGCATTAGTTACGAGTTCCGCACCTCCCTGTATATCATATCACTTATTCCGTATCAGAAAACGATATGTAAGATGAAATCGCCCTCACAAACAAGATTTTTTGATTCTAGGATGAATGGTAACAAAGATATATGAACAAAAACTGATGCATTTGAGGACGTACCTCCAAATGCCTTAGCGACTCCATAGGAAGGTCACATAAAAATGAAACTATTTTATTTTCTAATTTTCATCTGAAGAATATCCTCCCGGAGTATACCAACGTTGTTCTGGAACACCGTGTATAAATGTTTCTCTAGATTTTGATTTTTGATAGATAAATAGTATAAGTCAAACTTGAATACACTAGACTAGATCACTAGATCATTAGTTTGTCCAAGAAGAAATGTGTAGATAGGGGACAAATTTTGAACTAATAAAAATGCACACTGAAAAGTTTATCAGTTAAGGTTGGGATTATGTCCGACATATAAGCATTTTCAATTGAAAAAATGCAATATATCGTTTTATTATTATTATTATTATTATTACATGAATTTCGGCAATCCAACATAGGTTAAAATCAAGATGGTACCTGTTAGGTGGCATACAAAAATAACCATAAGAATCTGATAATAATATTGCGATATATAATAATAATACTTTTGATACGAATAAAGTTTGACCCGATGAAACAATTTATTAATCATTTCATTCTCAACTTGTGTTCTTCGTTGGCATTATTTCAATCGAGATTTCAATAATTGTGTTTTGGCACTGAACATTGAAAACGAGGCAAAATATTCAATTGTTTCAAAAAATACAATAGTCATGAGTTCGGATGTGGAGGTTATGTGAGTCATTCATCTCACAGAAAGAAGTTAACATTTTTTTCAATATCAATTTTGTAAATTGGTACCAATGAACCGATTTTCCGCAGGATATTCAAGATTACCTGATTCATCACAGGCTTGATCTTGCAATTGTCCAGGATCCTTTGAACTTGCTTGCTGTTGAAATTCGACAAACCGATACTTTTCGCTAGCTTGAGCTCCACGCATCTCTCCATTCCCCTCCAAGTTTTCACGAAATCGTATGGAATGTTGACGGCATCCTTGAAGGGAAGGTTGAAATCGACCTTTCCCAGGTTCTTTTGGGCGCACGGCCAATGGACGAGGTACAAGTCCACATAACACAAGCCGAAGTTCTTCAAGGATCTCTTGCAAGCCTCTACCACCTGTACAGGGTCTTCACGTATATTTTGAACTCCCACTCAACTTTTTTATGTATTGTTCAAATTTCTTTTTCGATGAACGTTCTTTCGTATTTTTTCTGTAGATTTTATACAGAGAAATGCACAAAAACGACCAGTGCTGTAACTTGTGAATCATTGGGGGGTAAGCACACCAAATTGCTCATTTATTGACAAAACAATGTTTGTTGTAACACTTCCGGTTTCACCAGAAACGACCCCAACTTTTGATTTCTGAAAGGGACACCCTGTGTTTGATAGGTTTGTTTCAAACTATCAGGAAGATATTTGCGTTCGAAGTTTCCATAATATGATGTTCGCTCACTGGGTGTAACTTCGCAATATCGAAACTTCTTTCTCTGTCACACTCATTGAGCATTTGGAAACTTAGAACGCGAATACAGTGTGTTCCACTTTACCATGCTCACCATGGGTATATTTTTAACGGTGAGAGATACGAGGTCGGTTAAATAACACCAAATGTGGAGTTTGTCAAGGCCAACTATAATGTGAAAAAATATTTTGATAAAATCTATTCGTTTTTGTTTTATACGCAAAAAATAGATTTTGATCATTTTCATGTCCCCTCCGTAACTTCTTTATTTATGAAAATATTCAAATAGGAATTTCACATTCTCATGGCAGATTTTCAAAGTGATTTCGAAAAAAATATGAAATTTATACCAACTCTTCTAGAATTTGAGATATCAGCACCAACTTTAGTTTTTCAAATGTAGGTCATAGCTCACTATGCCTTAGTTACAAATAACTGTTTTTTCTCTTACAGATGATGTGTCGCAGTAATAGTTTTGTGTTGATAACAACGGAGTTATCGTCATTTATACAAAAACAAAAAATTATTTGGTAGCCGCCATCTTGAAATTTATGAATTTTAACAAAGAAATCATGATCTCCGACCTCAAAAACCCCCACTTACCAATTTTGAATGGAATCGGACCAAATCTTGTCCGCCATCTTGGAGCAGCCATTTTTTTTAATTTCAACAAAAATTCCACTACTCCAATCAACTTTGAATTTGGCAGGTGTTCATAATTTCAGTGACCATACATTATGGAATTTTTGTTGAAATTAAAAAGAAATGGCTGCTCTAAGATGGCGGACAAGATTTAGTCCGATTCCATTCAAAATTGGTAAGTGGAGGTTTTTGAGGTCGGAGATCATGATTTTTTTGTTAAAATTCATAAATTCAAGATGGCGGCTACCAAATAATTTTTTATTCTGTTTATTCGTGATCGTTTGAAATAACCCTATCAATCCCGGTATTGTTGAATTCGTTTTGATAAGCCCCATTTGCTACCCACTAAAAAAGATCCGATTTCGAATGATTCACACGTTATAGCACTGACCGTTTTTTGTGCACTCATCTCTGTATGCCAACAGGAACAGTTGAACGTGAACATCTCAAAACATACTTTTGGGCAATATTTTTCAATTTTTTACTAGGACACCCTGTATTTTATTGCATTTTCAGGGACATGCTAAGGACGTCCTTGCGTGGACATTCTACAATATGTAGGTCTCTAAAGGAAGCAATTTGTAGCACATGTGAAATGATGTACCAGCAGGAACATTCCATGGACGTCCTTGCTCGGACATTACATGATATGTACAGGATGGGACGACCCAAAAGGACAATTATTCTGGGTCCGGGACATTCGGACTTGAATTGTACCAAATGAGGTCGTCCCTAGGCCGTTGCATGCTATTAGGAAACCTTTTAAATACCTACTTCTTCTTCCTCATGGAATGTGTTCCATAACTTGGTAGTGATGAACAATTCATTTCTGTGTACAGTCTCGTCTGCTAATTTCGCTCTAATCGCATTTCCGATTTCTTTTTCGTTACCATACAGCCATGCGCAGTCTATATGCCGATAGCCAATATCGATTGCGTATTTGACAGCTTCCTCTACTTCTCCTGGTTTGGACTAAAAAAAAAAAGTTATACACAGAGTGTTCTCATTAGTATACGGCTGAAAGTCAGAAATGAATAATCCAAGGAAAAAGAATAAAAATAATTGCAGAATATCCCGCACCGTGCGGAGTCGGTGGGTTTGAAGTACCCTTTGAAGTGAGTGCAGGTGCGGTACGAACAGAGCTGGGCCGGGTACTGATAAATTGTACTCGAGTACCGGGTACCGGGTACTGTTTATAATTGAAGAACGAGTACAGAGTACCGAGTACCCCACTCATCATTGGATGTACTCAGAGTAAAGTACTCCGAGTACAAGTACCCGAATTTCACGGGTACTCATTTAAAGTACATTTGAATAGAGAATTGAGGAATTTTGCATCAGTATTAGTTATTATTAACAATAATAATATCAACAACTTCAACAATTGTCTTTTACAAATTATAAAATTGACCCATTCATTTCTTATTCATTACTAATACGAAAATTAAAGCAAAAATCAAACTACTTATTTGTCGTTGTTCACGTCTATACGTATCTCTATATGAGAAAAATATTATTGCAAAATACTATACCCTTATACCTCTTAGTTTAGTGTGGTTTAGTCTTAAGAAAACAACAGAAACGATACAAAAAACATTTGACTCTATAACTGTTACACAGTGTACAAAACAAAAACTCCGCGTTTGGTTCTGATTGAAGTGCTGACTGATATAACATATAACAGCGATTTCCCGTGTTGCACTCGCATATGCACAGACAAGTTTATTCTTGCAAAAAGTACCCGGAAAATGTACTCGTTTAATAAACGCGGGTACCAAGTACTTTTCCCGAAATGCTACGGGTACGAGTACCGGGTACTATATTGAAAATGTACTCGGGTAGTGGGTACTGAGTACACAAAATGTACTCAGAGTACAATATTTGAGTACTTGTACTCGAGTACTGCCCAGCTCTGGGTACGAACCTCTGCAATTGTTTTTGGATAAACTTTATAAAACTCCACTAGAGCAGATCATCTGGGATATACTATAACCACCTATAACCTTATATTATGTAGGCGCACTTATACACTTATGAACCTGAAAGTTTTTCACAGTTGATTCTTCAAAGCACTGAGTGATACCATCAGATATTTTGAATATAATGATCCAAAAAAATATTGTGTTTCAAGTTTTACCCACAGGATGCCTCATTTCAAAGTCCAAAGTCATGGTTAAAATTCTGGAAGTTTTGGGAAAAGTCAAGTAATTTTTACATAAATGAGATTTGCTATTCACAAGCAACATTTATGGGAAACAGGAATTTGAAGTTTGTATTATGGGAAAAAGAACCAAAAGTAAATTCCCTATTACTGAGAAATAAGAGAGCTAGAAAATACCGCAACATCTCATCTACAAAAAAAAAACAATCAAGTTGTGGTTGTCAAAATGCTGCCCAAATCTTTCATCATCGTCAAACGTACGTCAACAACATTTTGGCACACAGATTTTTCATGAAAAATTCCAGTGAAAAAATGGCATCCTACTTGCAAAACACAGAAGAAATTACTGGCGCTAATACTGTGAACAGACAACTCCTAGAGAACCAAACATTCCTCCACCATGAAAACGAAAATCTTCAACACGATGTTACCAGACTTTCCCGACAACTCGAAAACCTCAGAAAGGCCTCAGTGAGCCCTGATCTGTTTGAAACCCTTAAAAAAGAGAAAGACCACCTTCTGGCGCTGAACGACACGTTGAGGAAGAAAATAAAGCACATGAAAAATCCATCGACCCATTTGGACAAAAAAGATTCACAGAAAGAAACCCAGGAAAAGCTAGAACTGATCAGAACGGTACAAGAGCTAGACAGGCTCTTAGAAAAAATAAAAAAATCAGAAAAATTCGAAGTCAAACCCTGCGAAAACGAAACTGCCAAAGTCGTGGAAGCTCTAACAAAAAAAATCGATGAGGAGCAAAGGAAAAACGAGGAGGCAACTGAAGCTTTAAGAAAATTGCGCGAAGATGACGAAAAATACATACTCAGAGAAAAACTGACAGACATGAAGCAGCTGATAACCGATTTGGAAGTGGAAAACACGAAATTACGCTTTGAAAGCGAACAACTAGCCGAAGATGTGGAAAACTACAAGAAGCAACTCAGTGAAGCTACAGATGAAGCCAAATCGGCAACAAAAAAATACTACGAACTTGAAGACGAGAAAGATAGACTCAAGAGCATCATTTCAGATCTAGAAAACGAGAAAATCAAGCTGAAGAAGGAAATGATAGAAGAAATGAATGAGGCCAATAGAGCTAAAAGAGTTTCTGTTGATACAGAAATAGCTCTGCATCATATTTCTGAGGCTTATGAGAATAAAAGAAAAGAAAACCAAGCCCTTCACGCACAACTCGATGATGCCGAGAAAATCATAAGGGGATTCAAAAATCAGTTTGACCCTATTTACTGAGTTCAATTGCATGTATTCACATATATATAGTAGTAGGTATATAGGCGTTAAAATACACCAGTAATGTTTTGTGCAATCGAAAAAATAATTATGGAATTAAATGTCATCTCAACGATTCAACGAAGTACGATAAATGTTTCATTTAGTATTTTGAATTTGAAAAAATATTCAGTAATCTTAGGAGTCTCGAAAGATGTTCAGTATGGAAGAAACAAGCATGAGGTTTGTACTACAATTTACACTTACACTTACTATTAACCATGTTCCTAATCCAAGAGCGGGACATGACAATGCATTATTCAATATCACCGTGGGAGGTGATTTAGCACGAGTCACAGGTTTGGCAGTCATATTATTTGGGAACCATTACAATATTTATGATTTTCAGCTATCTGAATTAATTTTTATTGTTAATCAGCATGATGTTTTTGTTGACAGGATCATTGTATACAAAGCCATAAAAAAATCAGCATGATATTGGAAAAATGACATCATGTCAGTGTCAATAACATTCGCAAAATAGAAGGAGACCTATATACAAGTAGATGAATAATACCACATAATACTGAGTAGGTGCAGGTGAATCGGTAGTATAACTTGAAACGGATTAATTTTTTTGCAGAGAATAGGAGGTCACGTCACGTACTAGATATATTTCATGATTAGTTCAATTAAAATACATAAAACAAAGTCAAGAATGATCATATCCATCTAGAATTTCGATAAAAAAATATCATGTTTTTTTTCTCAACTACTCTTCTGTCAACTTCTATCCAACAAAAATTTACAAATAATCAATTTACATGAACCCAGTTGGAAGTTGAGAGTTATCAGCATGGTCGAAATTGAAGATCCATTCTAACGATTTTATTTCATATTCTTTTATTGAACCGGTCGAAGTTGTGCTGTGTAAATTGAAGAGCAGTTCGTATGGCAGTTTGCCTGATCTTTCTGAATCTGACGAAATTTTTCGAAAAAAGTGTAATCACAAAGTGAAATTTCTTGACATAAAAATAAAACATGAAGTCCTGATCTAGACTTCCTTTCATGATATGCCATCTTGAATAGTTTCAGTATAGTGAAACGTCGCTGCCAAATTTCAGAGAATTACGGTGCATCATTTTTGAAATATCGGCCATCAAAATTTATATCCCTGTATCTTTGTTATGGAGGGCCAAAACATTTTTTTATATATATGTATACATCTTAGATCATACTGTATGATCTAAGGTATACATCAACTCGTCTTGACTTTCCCTATTCACCATTTGACTATGTGATTCTCCTCATGAATCATCCTGTATCAAAATGACTTTCTCTCAAAATATATCGAAACTTGATAATACCCAGCATATTTTTGGAAGTTGAATGGAAAATTAGGAAAAGTAATTATATCTTCTTTTAAATTCCCTGTGAGAATAATTGCAGAAATCAGAGTAAATCTTCTCTATTATTCAATTAAATTAGTGGGTTTGATAAATTTGTCATTCATAAGTAAACAGAGAAAGAAGTGTGATAAAAATTAATTTGTACTTACCAACCACGTTCCTAAAGCCAAAGCTGGGCAGACTTCTTCATTATTGAGAGAAATATTTGGAACCACCATCTTGATAATTCAAACACTGCTCGATTTATGTTGTTGATGTTCATTTTATCAAGGTTATTTCTACTAAAATAGTTAATGTAAATATGTTCCAATACAATATAGCTGCGAAACTGTCGATAACGAATGTAAATAATAAATTTATATTTCAGGACATTTAAAGTTGAGTTGTGATGGTTCATTATCTAGTATTACAGTTTTCATGATATTCCTGAGATGCAAAATGTTACGATCGAACCCAAAATAAGTTATCTGTGATCATTATAATTGACAGTAAATATAAAAGTCTGCTATTTAAAAAATTCGACCCTGTATTTCATTGCATTTTTAGATTCTCCCTAAAGAGTTGATTTCATCAATATATCACACTTGGTGTCTAGCGGAAATGATTACAGGGTGTTCGAAATCGAGATTTTTCAACTTTAGGTTTTTTTTGTTTCTAAACTATTCATTATTGGTCATAACGACCCACATGTCATATCTTGACTTTTGATTTACTGCCTACTGACATTTTATTGGAACAGTACAGGGTGGTTCAGGGTTCAGAATTCTGATCACCCTGTATCTGTTCCAATTAAACGTCAGTAGATAGTAAATCAAAAGATTTTCAACACCCTATATCCCTGAAATTTCCGCTCGATCACAAGTGTGATATATTTAATAAATTGGCTGTCCAGGAACAATCTGAAAATGCAATGAAATACAGGGAATTATTTTAAAAACAACTGGGATCGGTTAAAAAATAATAAAGCTATGATAGGGAGGACATTTATGGTAAATCACCCTGTACATACCAACTGTCCATCGACCTTACTAGGGGTCCTTCAGCTCGTGAGTGTTCTAACTCCATACGCCACCTTATTATAGGATCAGCACAGTTGATTGGAACGCAACAGAGAATCGTGCGGAATCATCTCCGACCGAGACTACGAAAATAATAATGGGCGTGTACACCTTAGTAGAACTTTCAACTCAAACCATGATTATAATGATCCTTTTATACATAAATAATGATTGACACTCACACGGCGCGGTGGAGTTTTTTCATTTTCCATTGTCACTCGAAATTAGGACTTTCCATCTTCATCATTATATCTATGTTTTCGGTTGAGTAACCGACAAAAATTATGACTGACTCCTATATACAGGGTGTTTCCTAACTACGGTTCCTAACTGCAGAGGGTGATTCGTTAGGTCATTTTGAGAAAAAAAGTTCCTATGAACATATGTCCTGAGTTGCTTCGTTTCTGAGATACAGGTCGGTGAAATAAAAGAAAAAAAACGGTAATTATAAAATATCATGAATATCCTGGAACAGATTTGGTTGAAATTTGGTACTTTCATTCGTCAAATTTTCTAAAGTTTTAGCATATCAAGCGTCCATTATATTTTTGGCGGAAAAAATGAAAAATTCATTTCTCCAATGCAGGTGTTCATGATATGCAATACAGTGGCTTTAATTTTTTTTCTCGGAAACGAAGCTGGATATGAAGAAACTACAAGAGACCAAAAAGTTGTATTTTGTGTTGTTCAATTGAAAAAAAAATTGAAATTCACCAAAAACAGTCGGTGGCGTACTTTTTTTACAATATTGTTGGCTGTGGTGCCCACTGAGACGCCACTGGCCCCAATAATTTCAATCTAAATAGGTCTAAATAAGCGCCTTGTTGATACAAATAAAAGTACCAAATTTCAACCAAATCGGTTCCATGATATTCATGATAATTCGTAATTACCGTTTTTTTTTCTTCAATTTCATCGCCCTGTATCTCAGAAACGAAGCAACTCCGGACATATGTTATTAATAGGATCTTCTCTTCCAACGAATCACCACCTGCAGTTAGGAACCGTAGTTAGGAAACACCCTGTATAACGGATAGACGATTCAAGACGTAGGTAAAAACATAATAGGAATTGACACTATTGGGCCCGTGCCGGCTGAATTATAGGCAAACGATATAATATGCCATGCAATGGGCCGACGTTTGACCAGTGCAGCTTGGCCATGCCCAGCAATCTTCCGATCTATCATGCACTGGGCAAGAAGGCGGCCAGAGATTGAATATTTGCTGGGTAGGTACACCTTTCTTGAAATGATATTTGTGTACGGAATTTATTTGCATTTCCATATTTATGTTCAAAATGATACCTCTCAATCGAGCATTTTCAACCCAAGTATCATATTTACTGTCCTTTGAATTCAATTTTTAGGTTTCCAATTGTAATATTTTAAACACAGCGACTTTTGGAACAGATCATCTGATCTTGTCCTTATTCATATTTCATAGTAACGAGGAGATAAAATACCGAAAATTTCATGGAAGGAATATTTGGATTTATGAATTGTCGATATTGCATGTTGTAGATTATTTAGTCTTATTAAAAGTACTGTGGAGGGGAAGATATTCATACAGGGTGCATGAAGAATCTTAGGGTTCATTTTGCAATTGATTAGATTATACATGGATGATTGAACATAAATGGTTTATATTTAGTAACAAAACAAAATCAGATAATATAAACATAATTTATTTGTATAATCATCATTATAATATAATACAAGTTACCTACTTCTTACAGTATAAACAAGTATAAATTATTATGGCAAGACATCAGGATATTTTTGTACCATTCTGTACCAATCTGATCAATATCAACCAATCAAGCGTTATTCTTGATAGACATTCTTAGGAAAATTATTTATTTTGTTAATGACTAATACTTTATATAGAACAGAAAAATCGCATCACTATCTGTTATACAGACATAATTTAGTTGAAGTAACTCAACTGTTAAAAGTGAAACAACATAAATGTACTTACTACAGGACAGGCTCCCAATAGGTCGAGATGTTGAAAAACTGATAAATAATTTTCCTCAAAAAACCATTTATCTTTGCCATTCTCAATAAGGATACGATTTAATCACAGCAAAGCAGACACAGCTTTCTCATCAAACTTCAATAATTATTCGAAACATTTTTTCAACAATCTTCAGGGCAACATAAAAGGATGATGAACAATTTGAGAACATGTCAATCTCAACCTCTCTAGGAAAATTAATACATATTAATATTTCTGAGAATAAAGTCCTGAGGCTCTTATTGTATTTCCCATTTGAATCTAGCCTAATTCAGTATATGTACAGCATGTCTCACTTTAAACGGATCTCCCTCTATATCTCAGCAATTAGTCGTGGCATTTTTACCAAATTTAGAGCATCAAGGATAACCATCAATAATCAGTTTTTGAGAGACAAACATCCTTTTGGACGGTGCCGTAAGTTTTTATTAAAATAAAAAGGAGTCGATTCTATATGAAATCATATTAGGATTTTTTTCGCAAGAAAACTATTGATCTTCATGCTTTGGAACCTCACAAAAATAGTGAATTCAAATTAACTGCAAATTTTGGAACGTTCAATAGCTCCGATAGGTACAAAATGATGATTTGAATGAAAAACCAAAATATCCTGTTCTGTTTGTTGAACTCAACGTTTCCGAGTGAAATATTATTTACGTTCGCAAAAATGCTGTTTAGATGTGCCTGTTTTTATGATAGTTACCATATGAAAATTCACATATGGGGTTTTGAAACCACAAAGAACGATATTATGAGGTCAGTTTTCCTGTAAGAATGCCTAATAAGATTTCATACCAAAATTATCCAATTTCATTTTAATAAAAACACACAGCCCAGTTCAAAATGATGTTGGTCTCTGAAAAACTGATCATATTGACGGTTATTCATACTAGTCAAAATTTGGTAAGATTCGCAGGACTAGTTGCTGAGATAGATTATCTGAGATATAGAAAGAGGCCGTTTGAAGTGAGACAATTTATGAAGATTTGAGATTTTTTATGAGCCCTTTCATCTAATCGGTTTTTATAAAAAAATGAACCAATTAACTCTATTTGGGAAAAATGTCAGGTTGTCATTGTTACCAACATCCGAAATCAAATCGGCTTCCTTAAATATTCACATTATGCATTCAGCATCCATTGAGAAAATGGCATATTATTAACAATATACCTAATGAAAATTATGATTTTGAATCAACAATAACTCTGAAGCAGAAATTTCTTAAAAAATAACTTTTTTTCTATGACGGGAAACAAGTTTGGCATTCCATCTCTGTTGACAGGTTATAAAATGTCACTTTTCATAAATTACTTTTTTCCCACGGGAAAAAGTGAATGCTTTATCAAATTACAGAATTATTAGAGTGTAATTACTGTTGACAACTTCAAATTTCACGTCGATAATTTTCTGATTTAAATTAATGTAATATCTTCTCAATATTCATTCGTCCTTTTTCCTGTCACAAAAAAAATTGATTTTAGCTCACGCGACCTGGAGCTTAAAGCTACTAATTTTTTCCCTTGTATAATAAATAACTATTTAACGCTTCTGTTCAATAGTACGGATGAATATCTCCTTTTAGAAAAGCATATTTTCTCCACAAAAATTAAATATCGATCTGAAAAATTAAACTGTCTTGAAAGTTTAGGAATACATTATGTTAATACCGGGTATTCAACAATGATTGAGAACCACGTGACAGATTACTATTCAACCAAGAAAACATTCTAATCTCTTCATCATGAGTGGAAAAGAGACGTCATATTAAAAACGGTCACATGGCATTCAATCATTGCTGAAGATCCGTTACATATAAGTACAGAAATGTCGGAATCCCCATTTTTCGTCATATAAGCATACAGGGTGAATAACTTTCAATTTGAAGTTGGGAAATGAAGAATGATTGATTAGTTGAGAATTTTTTCCACAACTTTCCCAAAGGTCATATTCAGAATTTAGTGAGATTTTCTTGTGATGTTTCCAGCTACCGAGATTGTGAAATTGGAACATGAATTTTAGAGAATTAAGTTCATCCATACTCTAGACAATACTCATACCTACTTGTTTCAATATTTTTTATGAATTTAAATAATTATATGGAAAAATAACATGCTTTGTAATATTGAAAAAATCAGGCTGAAATTACAAAAAAAAAGAAATTGAACTGGAAAATGTTCCACTAGAATGTATGAAATAACTACTGCTTGGCTGCTAGAATTCTTATTTTATGGGAGTAGTACAGTTCAATTGTCCTTGTTATAGCCAAAGATAAAAACTTTTTCGCCCTGTATATCTATCATAACCGAAATACTTTCAATTAAAATACTGATCACCAGCATTAAATGCTCGCTTGTAATCGCATATAAAAAAATATAAAAAACGAGATCAGCCAAAAACCCGAGAATTGTACGAAAAACTATTTCACTAAACAGCTACAGAATTCACTGAATTATCCGAACTATGTGTTGGTGTTTCCAAAGCCGTTATCCTTTGCTGAAGGTGTTGAACCTTGAACACAATAAGCATTAGGGAAATAAATACTGACATTTACTGAAGACGAGTATTTCAATGAGGGCTGAAATTATTTATCATCGCGCCACTGGAACGTGAGATCAGAGTTGATAGAACTGATAAATATACTTCTTTTCGTTTGTCATTTCGCCTCTTCCTATGATATCTCCTTCTCCGTCAATGTAATTTCGGACATCCAGTCACGGATTGACGAAAATTATAAATGTGGCTTCTTGTCCTTGGACCTATGTAAGGCAATGGGCGTGTACACCTTAGTAGAACTTTTAACTCAAACCATGTTTATAATGATCCTATAATACATAAATAATGATTGACGACCTAATTCGATCGAAAAATTAACTGGAATGTTTCATTTTTGGACATAAATAATATTACCTTCTGAAAACGGACCCTCTTATGACGTAGAAACCTCATCTCGCCATAGTTAGAAGAAAATACCAAACGCCCGACGGAGACTGAGGCAACTGATATATTAATTCTTTCAACTGTGATCTCGCGCAAATTCACTCTGTTAGAAATCATGTATCATTCATCTTTGTCTGGAATAGTCTTGTTTCAGTATTAGGGTTTTGACGTCACATCATCGCCTCGTTTTCAGAGGTCCGAAAAATCGGGAATTTCAATAATTTTTTATAAAACGTAGGGAGCTCACAGCAAGAAACGGTTTGCGGTGGTGAGCTAGTTTGGGTGAGTTCTATCGAATTATGAAATACAATTTTTTTGTGATATAAGCCCATTGACACTGTATCATACCATTATAATAAATAAATTATATTCAATCAGTGTCAGAGGAAGAATTCATGATAGGTTCACACATTATTTGACAAATAGAAAGCAGTATGTTGAAGTGAATCATACTTGTGACTCACTAAAAAATATCACATGTGGAGTACCGCAAGGATCAGTTCTGGGACCAATTTCATTCTCAATTTATATTGATTCAATATCAACTCTGAACTTGAAAGGAAAGCTTAAATTATTTGCGGATGATACATTTCATTTTAAGAAACAATATTACCTTGTTTCCACTGAGTAGAATTCCTTAATTGACCCTTTATTATATTTTTTTATGTATTCATGTATCCCTATTATAAACAGAAATGTTTCTTGGGGTAATTAAGACAATCAAGTACCACATTGAGAGTAAAACACGTAAGTCTGCTCAAGTATTTCCATAACTTGAGGTTCTCTATTTGTTCAAATACTCTACATAATTTTTCCGAATAGTTTCGATGAAACAGGCCACAACCTCAAGGGCCCGGTAAAATTTTGGGATTTTTGACTTTGACATTGACCTCACGTTTTAGTAATGCCAACTGGTGAGACTGAAAATTTTAGCCCTCATTGACAATATCTATAATGCTATCAAGAATAAAATAAATAAGTACTTGGACATTTTTACGTATTGAAAACCAAAGAAAAATCAATCGAACGCTATGATTTCTCTACGTCACATCGATCGAGAGAAATCTACGATTTTCCGCTAGATAGTTGATCCGTAATAATTGTGGTCCCTCTATTTTATTTATTTTTTCAACTATGTATTCGCAAAAATTGTTTGAATTTTGTTGTAATATGTGAACATAATTTATTCCTCCAGAACAGTGCTCTTATGTACCTGAAAGTTGATGATGAAGCGTTGAAGCTTCGAAACATGTCCCGTAATTCCGTAATTTGATAACAATAGAGTATAGTTTTGGTGGAGTAGACTGTAAGAATTTCGTCCTGTCCTAGAGTTACAGTAATCTATTTTTTCCACCACTAGCTATAGAACCTACCATTATTTTCTCTTTTTGAAGGTAGTTTTTGTCATTTTATGAACCACTGATCAATAAAGACATAGCCACCTTTGTCATTATCTGTTCTGTTATTCACAGGAAAGTATTACTAGTGGTGAAAAAATTGTAATATACACCTTGGTAGTAAAGCTGAAGGCTGAAGCCTCGTGATATAATCTTGGTCTCTGGGTGATAATGATATTAATTTAATACCTTGCTGTATAAATAACTATTTTCTGTCTTACCTGTGCTGTGTGTTTTTCTACCATAACAAACATTTGTTGCTCCATTTTCTTATATTTTGCTTGATACTTTTTATTATTTCTATCTACAGTGTCAGCCAATATACTGAAACAGAAAAAAATACGATCAACATCAATAACAAAACCAAAACATGTGTTCTAGAATAAAGGGTGTGATTTCTAGGCTGATTTTAAAAATAGCATCCTTATAACCCTTCCCTAGAATTTTGGGATTTTACCTGCTAGTTTCTATAAGTAAAAATATTACTTTACTATCCAAAATGTCACTACACTTAAAGAAGTACCCTATTCGAAACTTAATAACTAAAATTCAATCGGTACTCAGTGACATCTTGTTTGAAAAACCTTCCCCTAGAATTTTGGGTTTTTCCTTGCTAGTTTCTATGAGTAAAAATATCACTTTACTATCAAAATGTCACTGCACTTAAAGAAGTACCCTATTCGAAAGTTAATACAAAAATTCAATCGGTACTCAGTGACATCTTGTTTCAAAAATGTTTTAAGAAGAATATAGCTAAAAAAAAGGAATTTCACTCATCTTTAGACGTTTCGAGAAGATATATAGGAAATTCTGAGATTGAAATTAATGTCACCAACTTCAATTCAATTCAATTCGATATAATGCATTATTGCCATAAATACAATTGTATTTGTTGACAAAGCTCGTACATATACAAATTTAAATGAAATATAATAAGCAATATGCAATTGAAAATGTGAAACCTAAAATGCATAGGGAGTAAAATATATCATAAATAATAAAACCAAATTATGAAATATGATGTTTTGTCGCCAACCGCTCTAATCTTTTTTAATCTTTGAGTGATCTAAAACTTCCTCTAGATGATGAGCTACTCACCTATTGGTGTGATTCAGGTCTTGTACTATATCTCTGCCCTCCAGCAGTCTGGCCTCGGCGTTTTTGGTGACGTGCTCCAGCGTCGTCACCAATTCCTGTAACCTAACTTTCAGTCTTGCCTCTCTCGCCAAAGCTTGCATCAATTCGAATTCGACCCCCTGGGCGTGTTCTGCATCAGAATAACCCCTTTCCTGAAGAAAAAAACAAGCCCGATGACATGTAAATTAGGTTCGATGAGCCTATGTTGAACTGTTAATTCTCCATATTCGATAGACTCAATCAAATTGAGATGTTTCATCGACTGAAGAGATGACAACATAAATAATGAGCTAGAAAACTGATTAATTTTTTTTTTATTGATTTTCATAGTGATGCTTTGAAATTTGTCAATTTTGACATGGAAACAATGGTTCGCTTCCCATCTCTACATACTTTTGAATTATCGGATTCTAAGAAGACAATAGTTGCGTTTTATTTACCCGATTTCGCCACCGAAATCTTCAATGTGTTGTTTATTTACAACTTTTCGGTTGCTACTTTTCATTCCGTCTCACTACAAGGAATGACGTGAATGAGTGTTGACAGTGGTCAAGAAATGAAATGAGATTGACGAAAAACGAAACTTTTTGAAAGTAGAAGACATTTAAATGACATTTTTATGATTCTTTCAAGTAAGACAGGTTTTATATCTTCATTCCCAGAGAAAATTCATTCTCTCGATCTCAGACAACTTTCTCCGATCACCACAATCACTGCTCCAAATATGCGTTGATTCGTTTTCCTGATTTTTGACGCTAGTATTATGTGTTGAAATTATTCGGAGCTCCAGTATATTACAAATATAACCTCTATTATCTACAGTGTGACCCACTTATAATGGAAACACCCCTGTATCTCACGTAATCGTTGGGTAAGGATCCTGAAATTTGCTAGAGCGATAGCTATATCAAAAATGCACTCTATGACCAAGTGGGGTCAGTGATATACACTATACACTGCTCGCTAACAGCCATGGAACCACCCCAATTTCCAGAAAATTATATTAGGAGTCAAAATAGGTTGAAAATCACTTCGGATTCGGAATGAGGACGCCCAATTCACTAACTATTCATAGTTTTCCTAGAGAATTTTCAGTTCAGAAAAATTAAATTTTGTCTCACTTCTCATGGAAGCACCCCCGTATCTCACGTAATTATTGAAGTAGGGTTCTGGAATTTGCAGGAGGAAGGGATAGTCCAAAGATAAAGTCAACAACGTAGGATACGGGGGTGCTTCCGTAAAAAGTGTGACAAAATTTGATTTTTCAGAACTGAAAATTTTCCAGGAAAAATATTTTGTGAACTGGGCGTCCTGATTCCGAATCTGAATGATTTTTGACCTATTTTGACTCCTAATATCATTTCCGGAAATTGAGGTGGTTCCATGTGTATATAACTGAAGATGACCTCACTTGGTCATGCAATGCATTTTTGGTATATCTCTCGCTCCAGCAAAGTTCGGGATCCTTACCCAACGATTACGTAAGATACATCAGAAGTGGGTCACACATGTCATTTTTTCTCATGGAAAGATTGCAAGTTCATGAAGTTTCTCGTTTCATTTGTAAACGTCATTCTGTTTCCATCACCGTTACCAGAATGGAAGAAATAAAACGCATCTACTGACGTGAAGGCTCAGTAGCAGTTGACTTCACAGGGACTTTCAATTCAATTTTTCTAATTTTGACATGTAATTAGACCCTTTTCAAAACTGACGGAAGTTTTAAAATGTCTTCCTTTACGTAACTAGTTGTGTAAAGTAAAATATTACATAACGGGTGATGAAATGTCCATTTCAACACCGGTTACGCAATAAAAGTATGGATGTAGGAATAGAATAGTGCATTTTGTGATGCTTTCTCGATATCACTTGAGAAATCTGAACTTGAATCAACCATTTTCAGCTAATTGAAACATCGAACAAGTCAACTTCGTGAATTTCGCTGCCGATTCGTAATTATTGTTTGACGCTTGACGGATAATTCAAAGTGACGGGCGAAGTCAACTTGCCTACTAAATTTTGTACATAAGCGGTAGAACTCATTGAGGACAGGTCATCATTTCTGTTCAAGCGAAATTGTTCATCAAAATTACAAAAAATATTATACGTAACTAGTTAGGAAACGCATTTTTTCGCGAAATTGCTCTTGTTTTACTGTTTCCCATAAATCAATAAGGTACATTGTATGTCTTCAATTGCATTTCCTTATCTCCCATGAAATGTTAAATCTCAAGCAATGACAGCTCTGTCTAATAGAGAAAATCAGATGGCTACATGCCGAAGAAATGAAAAATTTCGCTATTATCAGTTACAGCCGTAGACCAAGTATACTGTATAACTCGCACGAAATGCCAATTTCCCAGTCGTACTTCATTCTCATGGAAAATGACCGTGCTCATTAAATAATGTACTATTGTGTATGTGCGCCATCGTCACACAAAATGACGCATTTTCTAAATGGTTATGTAAATATCTATTCCAATATTGGAAAATTGATCTGTCCTTCGAAATTTTTGGTCAGGGAAACTTCGTCTTTATTCTTCGTTGATGACATTATGGCATATTTTCTGATGACTGAAATTTACTAGAGATTGTGAGATTCTCCAAAAATTGATTCACGGACAAGATATTTTTGAAATCCTCTAGTATAGAAAGTCGATTTTTTGATTTTGTCAAAATATCTCAGAGATTAGTGGGATTAAGTGAGACCAAAGACCAAATATGTTGATTTGAAGAGAATTTTTTATCTCTTGGAGCGCACGAAAGGACAGTCCTATGATGATTTGTGCATATCAGGAGGGGTGAAAGAACTTACAGTCACAACTCCACCACATGAAAAATTTAATAACGACCAACGGTCATGGACATAAGGACATGTTTCGAAGGAATAATCCTTCATCAGCAAATTCGTAACAAGAAAATTTGTAAGAAGAAACAACGTTTTTAAGTATTAATTAAAAATCTAAATGTACCTACCATTATTGGTAGAAGAACTCAAAAAACGTGCATATATTGGTTAGATTTGCGAGATTTTACGCTTCATGCATATTGGAAGGAAAGCATATAACATATTAATCTTCATCCTACCTTATTTTGTGTCGCCAATACGAGAAGGGCTTCCGTGTCTTTTAGTTGTCCTTGGAGATTCTTGAGGGCAGCAGATTGGGCCTTCAGTTGCCCTTCTGCATATTTGAACTTGAGTTCGATGGCGCTTTTTTCTTTCTCCGACACAAACAGTTTCGATATGAGTTCAGCCTTGTCTTCTCTCAATCCCATCAATTCCTAAAGAAAAAAATCGAAAATATTCACAGAGTACCACAAAAACATTAAGGAGAGCCTAAATACCTATTTAACGATCCAGAAACCATTTTCGTTTTCAATGTTTCAAAGTTAACCAAATAGTTTGTATTGTTACTAGGGATGGGGCTTAAATTAAATAATATATTTTTCAATTGATGCAAATACTCTCCAAACTGTTCATTTCCCTATTATTTGTTAGTAGTATCAAGAAAAAATTGGGTAACATCTTAAACGGATTATATTTGAAGTGATCCATATGTTCTTTAAATCTTGTGCTCATGTTTTGGCATGACTGCCCGATATTTCTCATATTACAATTATCATTTACCTGCATTAGTACCGCCATTTCCAGATCCATTTTTCTAGCTTCTTGTGTATTAGAGGGTCGTACGGGGTAATTTTCTATTTGAGTCGATTCCAATACTACGTAGGTTCCCTGGATGTTACTCCTCTCGGCCTTCAGCCTTGACATGTGTTCTCTCAGTCTTGCTTCGTGGTCAGATGTCCATGGTTCATCCCTTAATAAACATTTTGTCGTGAATTGGAGTTGGGTGTAACTTTTCGCAGAGTGAAAAATGAAAATTTCACAATGATAAATGTCAAAAAGTTGCAAATGGGGTGTCGTTGTACTCACAATGTTATTCTCTATCGAAATAAGTGAAAATATACTGGGTTTCCCGCTTAAAATAGGAAAATAATGGCCATTTTCGATCAAACCGGAAGTGACAGAAAACAACTGAATAAGTTAAATAATGCATATTCATGTACTATAGTTACACAAAGAATTTCATTTGTTTATCTGTAGAAACAAAAAAGTGAAAAGGAATATTCTCAGATATATTTATGAACACAAAAAATGGATATAGGTATATATAAAGAAATAAATTGAGAATTCGCATTATCCATGTGATGAAAATATTAATTCTTTCTCGGTATAAAATATATCTATAAAAAATACCCATTCTCTGGCCATGATTCCGCAGAGTTATCCCCACAATTCACGATTTTATTCATCTATCCGTGTTTGGCGTATAGGATTGTTGGCGTACACCTTTTGATGATATATTCTTGATTCTAGTACAAAATAGGCGTATAGTGTCATACTGGCTTTACATCAGCCCTCGACACATCAGATCTACCCCAAGGGGATTGTTTATTCATCAGGATGGTCCATACGGCCGTAACCATTTCAAAGATTGAATCAACATGACATCATGCTAACCATTGACTGTAGTGATTTAATCAAGAATACTCGACCTCAATTTATCATTTTGACCATTCAAGAAATATATCCCTATTTTATTTCATTGAAATGAATGCAGTTACTCCACGGACTACAGATAGGTATTTTGAATAAACTGGGAAAAATCTTAGGAAGTGAACCTTGTAGTAAGTATAAAAAAACAGATGTACATAGGTCAATGAATATTCAACAATATCAAATTATCACAAGGGAAAATTTGTCTCATTAGGAAATGTATATAATTCATATATACTGAACTGAGCATTTCATTCAATTCGCATAATTATTTATATTTATGAATACTTAATCACAATTATCATTTAGATGTTTCTAATTATATTATTGAATGTTAATAAAAGAGATAAAATCATTTTTAGGGGAGTCTAATATCCATTTTTTATTTTTATCGTAAAGAATTGGAGTGATTTTGTTTTTATGATACCATTTGGAATTTCATTATATAGGTGATGAATTAAAAAATTATAATTTCTACGTCCAATTGACTTGTTTGTTTTATATTCCAATGTTATGTTATTTTTATTTATTATGTCCTGGAGGCATATAACCTCAAGAAATTCAAGAAAAACATACACATACAAGATATCCCTTTTCGTGGGAACCAGAACATAAAAAAAAGTCCTTGCACTCACCCGTCGTCAGCCGGACTGCCCAAACCGTGGTTCTGCCACGGCGACAGCAGCACGTCGGCGCTCTGGCTGGAGTCCAGGTGGCGCAGCAGCCGTCTGGCCACCGCCTCGGCGGCGCTGCGGTCGCCCGACCGCCCCGCATCTTCTTCCTCTTCTTTTTCATCCTCCTCGAGCGCAGGCGCGGTCTCCAGCAGCGCCAGTAGCACGTCGTACGCCTCTATGGTGCGGTCGCTGACACCCAAAGCGAGCCTCAAGGCGATCGCGTTCGATTCGTATTTGCCGCACAGCAGGGCCAGTCTGCAATATGCGAATCTTGCTAAGGAATACGCCCTCTACCGTTTTCTAATATAACTAACGTATGGGCCATTGATTGCTTTATTTACATCAGTTTGCATGTGTTTTGTATGAGAAGTAGTTGTGTTTAAATCGTTTATGATTTTGTTTGAGGAATATTGAAAAGGAACATTCTCAGATATATTTATGAACACAAAAAATGGATATATATATAAAGAAATACATTGAGAATTCGCATTCTCCATGTGATGAAAATATTAATTCTCGAATATTACGACGCAGACACGAGATTTTATGAGACAACGTTTAGAACGTCAAAATGAAAGTGTATACGAGTTTCCTGTTTATTCTCTTTCATTCCGATGTGAAACCCATATTTGACTGGAGTATAATAAAAAAATGTGAAAAACGTCTTGCTCACCTATCACAATGAGCTTTCGTCTCCGCTAAAGTAAGCACCAGCACAGTGTTCTGAGACCTGGCGTGCTCCAGTTTGGTGTTGACCTTCTTCAGTTCGATGTCCAGACACTGCTTCTCGGCCTGGACGTCGCACTGCTTCAGGATGTCCCCTACTATGTGCTCCGCCACTGCCGTGGAAACGTCCGAATTCGCCAAATCGTTGGAATTGAACCCTACACTCATCAATATAAGGCTATGATAGAAACTAGAAACTACATCATTAAATCACTCAATTCAATCAGTTATAATTTATTAGAAGTGTTCTGTTCAAGATCTTTTGAATGGCCGATTTAAGGTACATACAATCTTTCTTATTAAGAAATAGTGGAAGATTAGACGATTTTTATCTGCATGGAAACACATCAGGTATTCTTACGAGGGGAGTGTACCGACACTTGGCGTCTGTGTGTCCTCTATACAAGGAGGATATCGTTCAAGTTATCTGCAGTATTTTCCATGTGTTTCATGAACATGATCACAGAAAATTGTTGTCTGCTTGCTATTCAAGAACTGTTCATCGGGTTGGTTCCATATTTGAATGTTTGTTACGAATACGATTAAAGTTATCTTCAATATGAATGAATAAAAACGAATCCAGTGATTTTCAGTTTTTTCGAAATATCTCAGGAACGACTGAAGTGTTTTCAAATTGCAAAACGTCATATCGAAAATAATGAAATTATGCAACTTCCATCTAATTTGATCAACTTTCTATCTATTACCGAACAGGAGATAGCAATACTGTCCCTATTAAATCGGCAGGACCCTGTCAGAAGTCCATACTTTTCTCTGAGTGGATTCTAATGATGAAAGGGTTAGAAAACACAAAATCATTTCCACAACGTTTAATAATCAAAAGATTATTTGGGGGATGAGGTTTCGGACAGTCATTAGTCCATCATCAGCTTTAATCCTTACAAACCAAAGGTCCTATAATATGAATACAAGGAAATCATGAAAAATATATGAAATAGAGAATTTACTCACGTGGTCGCTCTTAGCAATCCTTACCTTACCTATCTCCTCTTCGTTTTAGGTCGAGTGGTGCTTTTGTTTGTCCACCATTCTTTATCTACGGACAGTTGACATTTGTCACTGCCTTATGTGTCATCATAGAACTCGTCGCGTCTTGTGAATTGAGCGTTTTTGTCCTCCATTCTCCATCATCTGATGATGAAGGCTGGATTTCGAGTAATCATTTGACTCCACCGTTTTTCTGTTTTTTCCAAAAATGGGTTTTGCTATTAAATTTTCATTATGCACGCTCTCACAGGGGTACAGGGCCCTTTACAATTAACCTGACACGTGGTGCTTTGCACAACAATTTCAATCAATATTTTTTTTAATGTTTTTTTTTCATTCCCACGTGAGTAAATTTTCTATTTCATATATTTATGATTGATATATAATTAACTTGTATTCATATTATAGGACTTTTGGATTGTGAGGATTGAGGCTGATGATGGACACATAACTGTCCGAATCATGTTCTCCTAAATAATCTTTTGATTATCAAATGTTTTGGAGATGATTTTGTGTTTTCTAACCCTTTCATATAAATAGCTATTCCTCCCTCGGCATTAAATAGCTATTTCAACTACTGGTGCTCACTAGGGTCCCTTGATGGAATTTGACATTAAAGTCATCCTAACAGGGTACGGACAGATCATAGCTGCATTCTTTTCTAATGATCTAGAGATTTTAGTTCTGTCTACTGGCATCCCTGACATTGCTGTCACGTCACATCCATGGGCGCTACAGAAAATCATTCAAAATTTTAATTATAGTTATGTACAGGGTATTTACTTGTTGAGGAAGATCATATGGCGAACGAGTTTTGTAATTATGATCCGATTCTATTCAAAATTGGCAGATATGTGGGTTGTGGGTTTCCGGGGTTGGAGATGATGATTGTTTCGTCAAACTTGGAAAATTCAAGATGACGGATCCAATATATGTATAGCAAACGAAATTTCTAATTATGATCTGATTCTTTTTAAGTTTGGTATCTGAGGGTTTTCGGGGTCGAACTTCATGAGTTTTTGTCAAAATTGGTATCTGGGGATTTCTGGGGTCGGAGATTATAGTTATTTCGTCAAAATTGGGATATTCAAGATGATGGATTCAATATGGTGGATGAGTTTTGTAACGAAGACCCGATTCTATTCAAAATCGATATCTGGGGGTTTTCGGGGTAGGAGATAATGATTGTTTCGCCAAAAATTGAAACATTCAAGATGACGGATCCAATATAGCGAAAGACATTAGTTTATATAATTATTACTCTACCACAAATAGAAAATATGTTGGATGCAAGAATGAAAATAACGTGCCCATTAGTTATACTGCGTATACTTAGCGTATACCTACTTCTTTGTTACTTTCATCAATAAATTATTCAAAAATGACTCTTTACTCAGAAGAGACTGAAAAACCATATGTATAACATGGGGGTGAAGTATATTCTATTCTTTATTTTCCTGCACATTCTACGTATTAATTTTTATCAGCCTACTTTTCGCCCTATACGAAGTTTTATACATAGTGTGATATTAGTAACTCCATGAATTCTTCTCCGAGTTGGATTTCTGAAAATACATTTAGCACACATGACATGAGTACAGTAGTCCAGATACCCACATCGAGGTTTCCACCATTTCTCAATCATAAGGCTCAGCTCATAGGTAAACTACTGCTCAGCTTGAAATCAGAATTTATTCAGTCAATTCAGTCGACCCTGGTATACAGTCTAAGAACAGTCTCTTTTGCTGAAATATATCGAGCTTTCAGTACAATTTATATGTTCCCTAAATCGCAAAGATTATGCTGGAGTAGTTAACTCTAAAACTAGAGGATTGTTCATCTATATCTTGGTATAGTTGAATCAGGAATTCCATATGGAAATTACGTATGATACGCCAGTGACCTCAATATAACCTAAAAAACAACGAATGTTAAAAATCTAGTGTTTATCCCCAGAATTGAATAAGGATGGAACTATATAACTGTTTCACAAACACTTTAGAGTGAGAGGAGACGAGGATCTGTCCATACCCTGTTATGATGACTTTAACGTCAATTACCATCAAGGGACCCTAGTGCTCACCTCTCTGGCTGTCAGTGGCCCGTTTCAGCTTTATCCTCTCGGCCACCTTGGTCACCGGCACACACCCGAACGTCCTCACGTTCGTCCTGTGCACCGGCACGATGTTGCCATACTTCACTCCGTTCTTCTCCTCGTGCAACGGTTCGCAGTCCGCTTCGATGTGCGACTCCGGGGACTCCGGGGTTTCTTCGTCCGCCGTCGAGGCGATGCGGGCCAGCTTGGAGTTGGCCTCGTGCAGCTGGTGCTTGAGGTGCGTTATTTCGGTCTTGAGGGGCTCCAGTAATTCCGAAAACGGGGACGTGGTGTTGGTCAGCTTGGGTTCGGGTAGTTCTTGGGGACTGTCGGAAGACTGAAAATGAAAATAAACTTGAAACCTGAATGTTAATGAGTTGTTGATAGAGCCCGAGAAGTTACAGCTCAAATTTCTGAGTGGTGTTCTCTAAATGTATTGTTGCTGAATACTGCCAAATCTCAAAATGCCCAACTTTGCTACAAAAACTCTAGATAAAAGCTATTTGGTCAAAATAAACAATGAAACAATCCATCAAGTTAATTATACAAGATTTTTGGGGGTCAATATTGATAATAAGCTTGCCTGGAATGATCATTTTGATAGTGTTAAACTTAAGCTTAGTTAACATATACCGGGTGACCCGGAACCAATTTACCCCCCTGTATCTTCGTTATTATTTTATATGGATGTTTCAAATTCGGTACTTCGATTTGATGTTATGAATGTACAATTTAGCAAGTATCAATCCAAATATGTCACTTCCGGTTTGACCGGAAGCGCATCCAATTTTTATATTTCGAATAGGAAGTATTATTTTTTTTTTGAAAATTACAATTCGGTATAGAATTACCTTTTCAATGACATATCACAATCATACTTTCAATTTACAATCTGCGGGTATAATTGACATTTTATAAAAAAAATACTTTTTGTGTTCCCCTCGTAACGGAACATTTTCATGAAAGTATGCTGTGGAAGATTGAACAATATCATGTAAGTAACAATAATTCATGGCCAAACTTTTTACTTTCATGAAAATGTTCCGTTACGAGGGGAACACAAAAAGTATTTTTTTTTATAAAATGTCAATTATACCAGCAGATTGTATATTGAAAGTATGATTGTGATATGTCATTGTAAAGGTAATTCTATACCAAATTGTAATTTTCAAAAAAAAATAATACTTCCTATTCGAAATATAAAAATTGGATGCGCTTCCGGTCAAACCGGAAGTGACATATTTGGATTGATACTTGCTAAATTGTACATTCATAACATCAAATCAAAGTACTGAATTTGAAACATCCATACAAAATAACAACGAAGATACAGGGGGGTAAATTGGTTCCGGGTCACCCGGTATATCTACTTCGTCAATTGAGACAAACAGTTTCTTTGGATGCTCTTGAACTTCTATATCACAGTTTGATTCAATCTCTCATAGCTCATGGTCTAGAACAATGGGGTTTATCTGCCAAATTTCCCGAAGTATTTATTAGACAGAAAAATGCAATAAGAATTATGGCAGTTGCATCATCCAGAGATCATTGCAGGCATTATGATATTTTAACAATGCCCAGTTTGTATATCTATGTAACTTCAACATATATCAGGAATAATTTCTCAAGTATACCCAAAATGGAACAAATTCATGATCATTTCACTAGGAATTGTAATCAATTGCATCTACGTCGTAGTATCTTGTCAGTATCACAGAATCATTCAATGTACTATGGAGTTGAGCTGTATAATAATCTCAGTGAAGACATTAAATTGTCTTCAAATCCTAATGTGTTCAAAAGGCAACTCAAATCATTTTTATTGCAAAAAGCATATTACTCAGTTGATGAATTTCTCCTGGTATCATGATGTGAGTAAATTATTCTAATGATCAGATTATTTTAATGATATTTTAATGTTTAGTGTTATTTGTCTAGTATTTCATTAATATATTATAATCATTCTCAATTTCTTTTTTTCAAGTTGATGGTTAGTGTTAATATGAAGTATTGTTCAACTTTCCTAATGAATATATTTAGTTTTCATTGCATGACCTGTTGAATTAGCTAGTATTTTACAATGATGTTATGATTCTTTCCTAATTTTTATTGTAGAAGAAAACTTATTCAATAATAGTTTGATTGATTGATTGTTACCTAGAATCTAACCCACAGGCAGTGTGGCGGTGTATGACTTCACATAATGGGGAAGCTTCCTATATTGAGGTTTTCATTTCACTGTGAAGTTTGTAAAAAAATAATATATACGTATTTTTTCTTTTTTTCGTAAGATCAAATTCCACTTCAGGAAAGAATAAATAAAAGAGCAACTTGGCTCCTCCACCATTCCTATGACTTACTTTCTGAAACTCCACATTCATACAGTTAAAATACGATTCCCTGTGCCAGTACGACTGGATATCGAACAAAATTACTATGGAAAAAGGCTCAATAGATTCAATTCGTTTCCTAACAAATCTAATGTAATTGTGATTTATTGTTTTTGGTAGATAGATAGATAGATAAATTATGAAATATTTTGAAAATTAATTTAGTCTCCTTTGGGCAACAGATGCTTCTATCATCATAGTACGGCCATATAGAAAGTAGGCAAAAACACACGAGATACAGCCTCAGTAAGTATCTCTTTACGCACAGTAAGCAGATCGCACAGTTTTCGTTTATCCGCCAGTCATGATCGCGTAATCGCCGTCAACAGCGGATGACATAACTGTCAAGATTTATAATTCAGACTGTTTGTCCAAACTTTTTTGATGTACTATATGGTAGTACGTTATGCGTGTTGTAAAACAATTACGCACTCATGGAATTTCCATTCGTGCGTAATATGCTTCTGCCAACACATATTACGTAATATACTATTATATGAATTGTCAATTGGTACTTAATGGTTTCTAGATGATTTGGTAAATACTACTTACAGGCATTTTATTCTCTACGTCTGATAATTCATTATCTAATGGTTCTAATTCGCTAACCTCTAGTGGACATGTGATCGACTCTTCATGGACACTCGTACATGATTCTGAAAAAAAAAAACTAATATTTTTCAATAGGCAAGGGTATTCATCCACAACCGTTAAGAAGTGATCGAGGAAACCATCAACATCTTCATTTTCCTAGTACATGCATCTTCAATGTTTTACCTGATACTTCATCTTCTTCTGCGATAGCCATCGCTCTTTGTTGGTGCAATTTTCTAGTGAGCTCAGCAATAACAGAATGCAATTCGGTAAGTTGCTCTTCATACCTCTGTGCTTGTTCGTCCAATTGCAACTGAAGTTTTTCCTGAAGAAAAGCAAAAAACATAAATCAGAACTACAATTTTAACAATCGTAAATAAAAAAATAGTAATCAACTGAAACAGCAGCATTTAAAAATATTGATAATAAGAGATACTTTCATCTGAAGGTCACATTTATAAGGAAAGAATGTAATGAAAAATCACCCAAGTTGCATGTTTTTAGTATGCATCCAAAACATTAGCCTTATTACCCTGCCATTTTCAAATTCACAATATACCTGGACTTTTTCGATATTCCCTTATACGAAATATCGTCAAGGGATTATTTCCCAGATTATCCTGTTTCCATTTTCACGATTTAAATTGTTCTGTGCCAGCGCTTTTCCAATATTGGCAATATCACATAATATCGGATCAATTTTCATTATAGTATTCCAACCCATTTTTGTTTTATAACTCATAACGAAACACAATTGATTTTATATTATTTTCCCATTTCACCTGTAGATCCTGTTATTACAACAGAGTGTCGAATTCATGCCATATATCTATTTAATAGTGATCTTTTCATGTATTAATAGTATTACACTTTTTTTTTTCAATAATGAAAATAATCACCTATATAAAAACGGTAGCTTTTGATATGACGTGTTATACCGATAAGCACCGATAGGACTCGTGATTTTATCAATCGATTTGTTCTCATATTTTTGCCAAATGAACAAAACTTGAAGGACACGTGATATAACCATCGATAGTCTTTGAAGCATATTTTGTACTGGTTGATTCTTAATGTTTCAATTTGCGCTGATAATTTGTTGAAAATATCAACTTGCAACTTTCAAGAAGGTTTTCTAGTAGCATGCCATGGACTTCAGCAGTATTTACAAACTTTCCTATAGGAAATCGTAGAAACCATCCATATTTTTCAAAGTGGTCCAATTGATATTTAGAAGAAAAAGCAATAAAGGTCCCAAAGTCTGTCAACCACGAAAAATCGTTTAAAAAGTAGTTCAACTAGTTTCGGCCACAGGCCATCATCAGACACAAAAATGATGTATTCATAAGTACCTAAAAGATAATTATGGACATTGTTAAAGAGTCAAAAATGAGTAAAGAAATCGATATACTAACCTCAGCGATACATATTACGAGCAAATTAAATCAAAAGCCTAGGTCTGATTTCACAACATTATCAGTCCTGAATTTAAAATAGGTTTAATCTGGAAAGTGTCCAGTAAAACCAGATCAGCATTATATTATGGAAGAAGAACATTGGCACAATTTTGTTAAAACTTTAAAATATTCTCTCACGTGAGATTCATCAGATTATGCAAAATGTAAATGCTACGACGGAATCCGAAGAACCAGAAACATCATAAATCACATAAAATGTAAAACATGATAAAGAACGAGTGAAACAAGTAAATGTCAATAACAAATGACATACAAATAAAAATTGAATTAAGTGATGACACCTCTATTAGAGATGGACAAATGAAATGAATATGCAGTAAATTAGCCAGAGTTCTGTATTCTTGGAATAAAATAAATGAAAACGATCCAGTTCTTTTGTTGATCCATCTCCAGATCAATGTTCTCACGAAACTTTTCTATATGAATATTAATGTAGTTACTCATCCAAACATTAGTTTTCTTGTCAAAAATTCGATATCCTCTTGAAGTTGAGACGAGCGGACGAGAAACAACTTATATATTCACAGCGGAATCTTCCAAGAATCCCTTTTTCAGGGAACGTTTTAGAGCTCCTTAACCTTCGGGTATGAATTTAAAGAAGGCTCATTCGGCACGACATGCAAAACAGTTTGGCCCCATTCTACAGAGTGGCTGAAAATCCAGGTGAAGTGGCGCAATCAGTTGAAAATTTGGAAAATTCCGAAAAAAATAAACACTCATGAAGCATTTTCTACGCTAAAGGCACCTATTTGAAAGAACTCACCGAAATAAATAACACTCCACCTTCCCTATAGGATGGCGTATTCAAATTTGAAATCTGATGACGTTTCATCTCCTACAACTACAAACCACCATAAAAATAAAATTTGGTTCTAAAAACGGTCCTCATCTGGGCTTGCAAAAGTTATGACCAATCACAAATTTCGTATCGGTGACAAAAATTGACAGTTTATGTAGTTTTTTAATATTCAATACGAAACTATAAACGTTTGCTATGGCAACGATTGAAAATCGAAATTTGTGATGATGACAAAAAATTAAATGGGAGATCTGGTCTGTATTGAAAAATAAAAAATAAGTTGATGATGGTTTCCCTGAAGATGAAACGTCAAGCTTCAACTTGGGAAATGCCATTTCGTAGGGAAGAAAAAGTGACCTTGACAAAGGGTCGTCCAATAACGTCAAAACGATATATACATATTATTTTTCTGGAGTAATCTCCGAGAGTATTCGGAATTACCCAATTTTTTTAGTGCCATTTTGTTCGACCTTGTATTTTGTACGCTTTTCGAGATCCCAATGATGAGACTCGAATTTCAGCCACCCTGTACTAAGACTGGGTAAGCCTCTAGTGCATTTTCATTCTTGATTCGTTCGCGAAGTCTTGAGAAAAATGTGCATTTCCAGGAATTGAATTATGGATATCGAAAACTCTTTTCTGTTTTCATTTCAAAAGAAAAGAATGAATAGAGTGCCAGTAATATTCATTCAGTCGTTTTTTCGTTAATATCGCAAGAATCCTTGAACCAATCTGTTTGAAATTTGGCAGTGTAATGTCGCCATTATAAGATTTTTGAGAAACCTATTCTTTCACACCTAAAACTATACATTTCCGAATCCATGTTCATAGACATGAATTACATCCCCTGCATATCATCGAAAAAAAATTGGAACCCATAAAAAATAATCATAATATATAATAATAATATAATAATTTATTTACCATGTAGAATAATACATTACATCACATCACACATTTCTCGTAAACCATGCTACAAGGGTAAATAAAGGGAGTGATCCAAATAAGTTCATTTAAGAACTTGTCTATGAATATCTCATCAATTATTTCATTTGATAGTTCGATATGATACATATTGAGGCAGGTGAGTTCAATATAATAGTTTGAGGAATCACTCCATTTATACTTTTTAGTTCTTCAAAATCGAGGGTATACTGAAGATGACTTGAAGTCTAAGATGATATTTATGTGCAAGCGATTTATTTCTAAACATACAGTGTGACTAAAAATTCGAAATGTGAATGATGTGGTCTCGCATGTGATCTACTGGCTTCTAAAGCCTATACAGGGTGAATCTGAAACTGAGATTTTTTATTTAACAGGGTATATATCTCGCCAAAATAATTTGTTTGGCCTAATGCTTCATTTCCCTCCTAAAGTTTTTTGGTTCACTTCAAAACGATAATTAATAGGTTGAAAATGTAAAAAGAGGTTTTTGATTAGTGTTCCTGATGAAATAATGCAATTTTAGGGTATCTAATGCTGGACTAATATAACGGCTTTTTTGCGTTTTTTTGAGAAAATGTAAACAAACTGTTTTATAGTTGGAGTCTTTTTTAAAATATTAAATACCTGTACCTCCGTTATCTTAAATATTTTATATGATCAATGTTTGCCAAACAATTTATTTTGGTGAGATATACCTTGTATATGTCGGTAATATTTCTTTCAGGTCTGTATACAGGCCGCGCTACAAAATATCGTTTAGTTTGAAAATTAATAGATACAATACCTATGTGAACAATAAATCCTTTCTTCACGTTAGCAAGGACGTTAGACTTTGAAATTATTTTCGAGATACCAATTTAAAGTGAATTTATCCTCTTGACGCTACGCCAATATAACTAGTAATTAAAACTGGTGAAGAAGGAACACAAAGACCTATTTCACGATACTTTAATGAAAACATGGAACCAAAAAGACAGAAGAGAGTAGGAATAAAGAGCAATTATCCAATTATGATGGATAGTTCCGCATTTTGCTATATCCATGATCGACCGAAATTTGAATAAAACAATCGATAAACGAATGGCGTAGGGGCTTCAAGAGTGAGAATTGCAACCAACTTTTTTATTTGAAATGGAAAACAAAACTTTTTCGAAAAATTACAATTACGTATCTATATTTTCCAGGTTAAAAATGATATTGAAATAGTCGAAGAAGGGGTAACTTCAACACTATTTTCCGCAACCAAAAACTTCTGATTTTGGTCCCAATAATCTGAAATTTATACGGAACACGTAACACGTTCTATCATTAATATTGTTGATATTATTTCAGTCCAGTAAAACAAAATTCAAGGCCAGTCATGAAATAAGTACATCTATTTTCAGATGCGACTTGTGCAACTCATGGCATACTTGACCATTTTACTCATTATTTTTCCAATTGAATAGGCAGGAAGTTTGCATTCAGATAGTGTATTGAATATACTGTACGTGCTACTCTATTGAACCAACAGGATTGAAATCAGGAAGCCATCCATGGACATAAAAATCCAATATGTTTGTATCTATTGAACAGGGAGATTCAGTTTTCAGAACCATATTAGGAAGTTGACGAAATCTTTCGAGTTATTCAGAGAATGAAAAATCAAAATTGTCACTTCCTCATTATTTTGAAACTTGTCGATCACTTATCCTATTGAATATTGCAGTATAAAATCTTACACTGGGTGATTTGGAGAGAAATCTATGGAAATCATCAACTTTTACACTCTGTATCTTGCGTCCAGTAGTAACATAATCAAGAAATTACAGTACATATATCAATCATCGAATAGTTACAGCGAATATTGCACACTAGGAATAGCGAACTAGGCGAACTTTGAAAAATAACAATTTTCTGAAACTATTCCACAAAAATTCACTCATTGTAAAAATGAAAAACAAAATGTGAAGAACAGATGTAGCATTGATAACAAATTAAGATATCACAAGGGGTAACATCTTGACCACTCTATATAGAGTGTTCCAGAGTTTCAGTAAAAGGGCAAATTTTGTGTCTTTTTGTTACGCTCGAGTTACGCTAGAACATCTTGAAAGTTGA